GCAGTACTTGAGCATCTTGGTGACCAACATGACTGGGGGAGGGGCAGATTCTGGCCTAAGCAGGTCGGACTCTGGGAAGTATGCCTCATGTATCTGAAACTAAAAAACAGGTCATTTGTCAGCTCGCAGCTTTCACCTAGTTTTACGCATGACCCTGCTGAAAACTGTAAAACCAACAAAATGTGTTGATGATTGTATGAGTGTGATGAGTTCACTGATCCACTTCTGCACTTAGAGAAAATGTCTCTCCTGTTTGTTTCCTATTTTGCTTCTGGAATCTAAGATATATTTTTCTTTTTGTCCTCAAATCTCATCCTGGGAACGGCAGCAAGAAGCAAATTAAATTGGACTTTACCTTTCAGTATTCCTGAATTCTTGTGCATAGAAGAAACACTGGAAGCTGGGAAGTTAAAGATGGCCCAGGGAAGAAACAATGTTGCAGAGGCCAGTGATAACAGAAACCAACATGTGGAGACTCAAGCAGCACTCCCAGGGTGGAATGTTGGCTGATTAAGACATCTGTATGCTGTTTATGCTTCCCATACAGACGATGGTGATGCCTGATATGGAAAGGATTGTAAAAGCAGTTTGTTGGGGAGAGTGACAGAGTATGCATTTTAACATCCCCATAGACTACCAATGCAATGGGGATTAACTCACTTGGGGACCATAGACAGTATGAATGGTAAACATTGTTTTAGGTGTTGTGTGAAGTCAAAGCTGCATTCTTTTACTGGCCCTGTTGAGTCCATAGGAGAACAGCCCTGACTTCTTTGAACACTTCCTGATGAGTTTACAGACTCAGTCACTCATTCCACGTCATACTGAACAAAACACGGTATCCTTTTTGCAAACTTTGTTTCTTTTATGGAGCGCAACCCCAGATGTGCTCACTGGATAATAACTGATTGAAAAGCCCAAACGAGCACGTGACTTCACAAGCACATCGAGTCCTCACTCGCCCCAGCTGGTTTCAAAACACTAGGATGTGCAAATGCGGATGATGTTGGCTCTTTCGACCACAGGGGTGTTGCAATAAGCAAAAACAGCTCGTTGTGTCTTACATGTTTTTTGATTACCAAAGTCTTTCTGTTGCTAGGTGGTACTTTGAGATGAAATCTATTGAATATGGCAGCTGTGTCGCACAGAAGTTTGGGTTTTTTTTTTTCCTTGACTGTGGTTATATTGAAAAAACAGATTTTAAATGATAAGTTTGTGGTATTTTGTTTACAACAATTTCTGGCATGTTTGTACTTCAGACTCTATAATGGTCTTATACCACAAAAGTTCCTGAAAATCAAGAAATAAGGAAGTAGAAAGTAGAAATTGAGAACAGTGATTATAGACTATATTGGTGACACTCGACATTGCTTTTAGTAGTTTGAACATTGTGATGTGTGATCATGAGGCCAGCAGACACCCACAGTGGAAATCATTCATCAGGTTCTTTTCTATGTGTCAATAAACCTTCAAACCTAGTGATAAAGATTCCTCACGGGAACAGAGCAAACAGATGTTTAGATGCATCCCAGCAGTAAGACCTAACAGCAGCCTGATGAGTTCTAATGTATGTTGTCCCCGTAGGAGTGCACCAATCCCTGCTGCAACGCCACCACCTGCACCCTGAAAGAGGGTTCACAATGTGCTGAAGGCGAGTGCTGTGAGAACTGTAAGGTGAGTCAGTAAGAAGACAGATCAGTGTAACTAACTGGTGTCCCTTATTTTCATCCCTGGAAGTCTCTCCTCTGGCTGTAGTGATCCAGTTGTTTGCTCAGCTACAGTCCTCAAGTAATTAGAGAATCTTGCAAATGTTTGAACCAACACCACAGTATGGCATTTTGATCTTTTGTTTACAGTGCTCACACAGTCAGAGTGTTTGACATAGCGCTGGAATTTGTAATCATATAACACTTTAAGAAAAACAATGTTTCAGATAACTTACACGTTGATGAAATATGCTCGGCACAGATCTTGCCTACCGCCAGACAGTGCCGCGCAAAGCAGGATGACTGTGATCTGCCAGAGTACTGTGATGGGATG